AACATAAAAAAGAAGAAGGGGAGATAAGGACGATAGATGTTTGATAGGAAAGAAGAAGCAAACTACACCAGAGCACCTGCCAACCACTCATCCACAAAGAGGGACAGAAAAGAAGGGGGAACCTTCCAGTGGCACCCTACAAGCGCTCATGGAGAAAGACACGAAGTACACAGACAGGCATTAAAAAACCATAAGTGATAAGTGGAATAAACAATGAACAGAAAACTGACATAATAAGCAACATTTCTATCTTTCTGTCTTTCTAGGCATTGTTTGTCCACTGCAGGATGTAGCCCTCCAACAATAACCTCTAATATGTTTCATCAGCTGCTTTCCATGTCCAGATTGCACCCATCCTCTCTTTGACGTCATCCTGCCATCTTCTTTCTCGTCTACCTTTAGATCTTTTTCCTGTTCTTCCTCTCCATTCTGTACATTTTTGTGTTCATCTTCATTCTACTGCTGTTGCCCGCCAATTTCCATTTTTGTTGTGTGAATAATCCCCCTTTATGCAAAATTACAACAGATAAAAGGTCAAACTACCATGAGATCATTTCAGAATGATAGAGGGTCTGTTAATGTGATGATAAATTGTAGAGCGCACAGAGCCTATATTCTGGGACTTTGTATCCCTCTCTGCATAGGTTAGCCCTAATATGCAGAGTCAAAGCCCGTCTCTCTAATTATCTAAATTGTGTAAACTGCGGTGTATCAACACCTACATTTTTTTAAAAAACAACAAGGTGGGACACCACAAAAGTGTTTAATTTTCTCACATTCCACATGTTCTTCCTCTCCCTGTATGCCTAGATTGTGTCCCTGCTCTTGTTTGTCCATCATTGCCAGGAAGTCGTAGTGGCGTTTGGGAGCTCCCCATTTCCTGTCTTGAAGCATTTCTGAACCAAAAGAAAATCAAGTTTGTGAGGCGTCAACTTCATTACATTTAATTACAATAAATGCATAATTTATCTATTCAAATATCTTTTTTATCTAAATTCTAAATTTAGAATCATCAAAATGGTCAAGAAATGAGAACGCCTAAGAAACAGAGGGGAGGGAAAGCATATCTGTTACCTCTTGCAGAAGAGACAGTCATTTTTTGTTTCCTGGGCAAAAGCTACGTTGGTAATAAAAGAACTAACATGTGTCATTACACCTTGGAATCAGGCACTCGTCAACTTTGGGGAATATGAAGTTATTGGAATAATCTTAAAGCTCATTCATTTGTCTTTGGAAAAAAAGCCATCTGTCTTGAATAGAAGTCGAGATATTTGCTATTGAAGGAGTTGGAGGTCGCCTGGTGTCAGAGCTAAAATAAGCGAGAAAATGGCTGTAAAAATTTGGTGACTTCCAAAACTTTAGTGTCCTTAGAAACTGCAAATTTATATTTTATGAATCTTCAATCAATATTTCACAGTAAAATTCACAAAGGAACACAGAAATGTGTTTTTTAAAAGGACATAAAAAGTGTTGAGTGAAAAAAGAAATTCCATAAAAATTGCCCAACAGGTGGAAAAATATCTGTTTCTTCAATTTCATTATTTTGACGAGCGCCTGGTGTCACATGATGCCATACAAATGTTCTTGTTGATTCAGCATCGTGTTAAGAGGCGTCGGAAGCCTTGTGGTTACGCAACCGGATTCGTAATCGTGAGGTTGCGGGTTCGGGGGTTTGAGCCGTGTGCCCGACGTTGTGTCCTTAGGAAAGGCACTTTACACAAACTTTCCTCACTTCACCCAGGTGTGAATGGGTACCTGGCCATAAACAGCAAAAGATCTTGTCAGTATGTTAGTGTTTTAGCGCCTAAAAATGGCTGCTTGCACTGTATGCTTCCTAGGAAGTTAAGGTTGTTTCAGAATGCTCTCAGGTCTGCTGGGGTAATAGTATAGATTGTGAAGTGCATAGAGCTTGCTGTTGAGCCAGAATTTGTGCTATACAAATGCTATCTATTATTATTAAGTGTTCAAGACCACAGTGGGGTTGTTACTACAAGCTAGTAGAGAGACATAGTAAAAAGAGCCATTCAAAAATATGACAGCGCATTCTTCACAGATGTAATAGGGCCAATAAAATGCATGCACGGCTCGAACTCAGCATAAAAACAGGACCGAAAACACAAAGCTTAGACACAGCTGCTAACCTTTCCAAACTAAAAACCAGACTTTACCCACACGACAGATTAAAATGGTCAGCATTGGTCAGGTAACTACCCCTTACATACAATTTTTTTTATTAAAAAAACCTGCAGCAAAAGATCTCTCCAATTGCCTAATGTGCTTCATTCTCCTGAAATTATTCGCAAAGCCTACCTTGAAAGTTCATAATTTACTTCAGCATTGGCAAGTCAATGAGGAGCAGCACTAGAAATCAGAGAAGATGTATTTTCCAATACAAAAACGGACTTCCTTATTCAGAAACTCAAAAACATACGGGTTGGCAATCTTTGAGACTCGACTCCACGAACCTTACAGGACCTATGCATCTGAGCTCCTTTAGGTCAAATACTACATTTGCATCACCCCAGATTGAAGTGCCGAGTTCAGTGAGCAATAGAGTAAAGGTAGAGTACACTCCAATATGTGCTCAGTTTGTTGCAGTTAAACTAATAACTTTTGAGCATGTGCCCATTCGTCAGCCTAGTGCAATGTGTTCATTGGACTAGGGTGGTTTTTTTAAAGTTTTAGTAGAGATTTTACAGCACTCGCAACAGCATAAGGTTATATGAGCGCCAGTAGATTAGAGGTGTTACAAGAGAGTAACAAAGTAAAAAAGAAGAAGGGAGAAAAGGACGATAGATGTTTGATAGGAAATCCATCGACCCACAATAAATATGTTTGATAGGAAAGAAGAAACAAACCACACCAGAGCACCCGCAAACCACCCACTCCAGATTAGGGTGTGTACATTGTCAAGAAACCAAGCACACTATGGCTTGTATACACAGACTCACTTGAGGGCCTTTCGTGGCCAGTCAGAACTCGATCCAGCCACTCAGTGAGAGCATCCATTCTGAGCACATCAGCTTGGTAGTTGAACACCTCCGCCTAAAGGATATGAAAGATAAAAAAGTTAAAGTTTTAGTAAGAGTTTTACGGCACTTGCAACACAATAAGGTAATATAAGTGCCGAAGATTAGAGGTGTTACAAGAGAGTAACAAACATAAAAAAAGAAGGAGGAGAGATAAAGACGATAGTTGTTTGATAGAAAAGAAGGAGCAAACCACACCAGAGCACCCCCGGGGCAGTGCCACTGACTGAAGTGTCTTTAGGCCATTCCCAAAGGGGGGACATATCTCATTCAAGCATAGTAGAATTGTAAATGGGCTGACTCTTGTCACGCTCATAACTGTGCCTGATCTACAACAGGGAACTGCTGCTTTTTCTTTCCTGATCCTTACTATCGTCATTTTCCTCTACTTCTTTTGTATGTTTGTCACTCCCTTGTGACCTGCTATTTTGGGGTGCCTTGATAGTCGAAGCAGACCTTGAGCTGTTGAAGCTAGAGAGGTGATCAGTCTAAGTCTGATTCCCTGTAAAGACTTCTCTGTTGACACCCACCCCTTGGCGCTCATATGACCTTATGCAGTTGCGAGCGCTGTAAAACCCTCTACTATAAAAAAAAAAATAGAGCACCCGCCAACCACCCACAGACAAGAAAGTCAGTGACAGGAAAAGAACAAAACTTACACCTACATTAAAACCCTGATAACTCAAACTTCACGGGACCACATAATTTTTTCGTGTTAAGCAGATTTCATGTTAAGGGAAGCTGCAATGCATAGACTAAATAAAGAAAAATGGGGGATTTAAAATCCTTTCTAGTAACAAAAATTATGTTTTAAATAAAGTCTATTGTGTAAAACTACCACAATCTCCTAATATTACGTATCCCTTGTTTTCTTCTTAGGAGTATTGAGAATCTAAAAAGTAAAGTTGAGACTTGAAACTCTGCAAAGAATGAATTCTAGTATCACCAAAATGCCAGTGTGGAGAGGCGGACCAAACTGTTGAACACATCCTTCAGCACTGCAAGACACACAGGGCCCTGAGACAGGAAACGTGGCTAACCCCACTGACGCTACAAGAGAAGCTATACGGGCCACCAGATGAACTGAGCGGGACGGCCCAATTTATGACAGATACCGGACTTCAAGTGTGATACGATCGAGAAGAAGAAGAAGATGAATTCTAGTTACTTGTGAATAAAGTTCAACGTTGACCATTAATACATCAAACCAAATTAAGTCAGTCAATGACAGTGAGAAAGATACAATGCAACAACCTTTAGCAAACAAGAAAAGCAACAGAAAATATGCTTTTACACGCACATACACACACATGGTCCAAAATGAACAAACACACATGCACAGACAAACATGTTGCACACATATCTGTCTCCCCCGGTCAATATCAGTCCTAAGATGCAGTGTGGTATTATCAGCTACGAGGCTCGAAAGGTAGCTTTCCATGAAATTTTTGTTTTTTTGGATCAAGTGAAAGTTTGATTTCTTTAGCTTCATTTAAGATAAAAATAAACGACTATAATTGACTATAAATTTCAAGTATCTATCTCAATTCTAAGGCCCCCATTGCTACGGAAACATATTGCTCAACTTCGGAGGCCATTTTTTCCTTTTCGTGTTTCCTCACCTCGCACAATTAAAAGTTCTGTATTTTAATCAAATACGGTCATGTTTATTTCATTCTTGTTTTAAATTGTAGGGAAAAGGTGATAGTTTTTTAAAATAATGTTAACTCAGTTTTGAAATTTCCTTCACATGATTGATGTGACCGGCAGGGACACATATATACACTCCATCAACACGCACTCAAACAAAACTTCCAACAAATAAACATACATATCCACTAACCTTTCTATGATCAACAACAGTGATCATTGGGAGGGTAGCCGTCCATGTGTATTCAGATAAAATTTTCTGACCCATGGATTTTGATTCCCTGCAGAGAATTAAAGGAATAATTTTATTTACTTCATAAAGAAGCACAAACATAAGAATATACACAAACAATACAACAGAGAGGTACAGATGAACATGAGGAAAGCACTTTTCTCAGGATTGCAAATAAGCACAACAGTTACATTTACTGACTCTGTTGCCCCCTAAACCCATCTGACAACACACACAAACAAGCACGCAGACAAAAAGAACAATAACAACCATCATCCCCCGTCATATCTGAATATGAACAAATCACTCCACCATAGGGACTTCAAACATGACGACTAAAATGCCATTGAGGCTATACACATCAAGGCAGCTAAATTTAGACTTACGCATTCATCCAACAGAACTGAGTGTTGGTAAACTTCCCAGAAGTAGCAATAGCCGTGAGAACTTCTAAAGCGTCTTTCGTCTCGACATCCGACTTGTCCACAAACAGGATCATGAAGGGAACCTTCCTGGCGTACAACAGCGGGAAATTCTGTACTGTCAATTCAGGCTGCAAAGAGACAAAGAGAAACATTTTCCCCCTGATTCAGCGTTAGCGTTTCCATATGTTACTGAGTCGGCAAAGCTATATCAGCATTGTATCTATTAAAAATACAAGACGAACCTTTCAAACCATTAACCCTTTTGTTACTGAGTCGGCAAAGCTATATCAGCATTGTATCTATTAAAAATACAAGACGAACCTTTCAAACCATTAACCCTTTTGTTACTGTGTCAGCAAAGAGTTATAACAGCATTGTATCCATTAAAAATACAAGACGAACCTTTCAAACCATTAACTCTTTAAGTGCTGATCTCCTCACAAAAAATAGTTCATTGATAGGGTAGAGTTATATCTGAATAAACACAAAATACAAAACATAACGAAGTAGAATTCTACGAGTGTTGCCTTTATCTTTAGCGATATCTTAACTACAAATTGTATAAAAACAAAAGAGTTCTCACCACAAAAGCCTCAGTAGAATATTTCACAAAATCTTTCATGCTGTTTGCCTCAAAGTCAGACGTCAGTTTGCGTACAGGCTGAACCGAATCTTTCCGATTTTGAGCTATCACTGAGGGCATTGATACATCATATTTTTGTGCTCTGAAAATAGATAAAATTGGGATCAAATTTGCAAACTTTTGGTTAGTCATCACAAAATAAAATAAACCTAGGGGAAGGTGAATTTGTGACAGCAACAGTGGAGAACAAAGCTTGAGGGACAAACAATAATTGCATTTATATATCGCATATCCACACTCTAAGCATGCTCTTTACAAACCAATACTAAACCCAGCAGACCCTAGACCATTCAGAAATATTTTCAGCTTCTTGTAAAGTATACAGTGCAAGCGGCAGATTGCATGTGCTCAAACAATAATAAACTGACAAGACCTCATGCTGCCCGTAGTCCAATCCTCATTCTCACTTGCGTAAAGTGAGGATAATTCGGGTGAAGTTCCTTTCCCAAGGACACATTAAAGTGCCCCTAATGGGATTCAAACCCATGACCATACAACGGCAAGTCCAACAGCCTAAGCACTAAGCCATCAGTGCCACAAATAACAGCTCTGGTAAAAAAGCATTAAAACAACAAACTGATATATTTGGAAAACTTGAAATCTCAGAGAGATATTTAAAAGAAAAACAATTAAAATTATGTTCACTCACATCGTCTTAGCCAGATCATCAAGGACAAAAGCAAATGCTGTGACAGTTGATAAATCTTTGCTGACATCACTGAAAGTCTCCTTCAAATCTGAAATATACGTAAAATTTGTTGAAACAAGTAGGGGCATATTTGTCAAAAACATACATTACATAGCTGAACATTTCTCAAACTGTTTGAGAGTAAAGATGGTTACTTGTTTTTGTACACATCTAACACCCAACTTGACAAAAATAGGTAATTTACCCTACAATGAAAAAATTCAGGTCTATATTTCTCCCTTTGACCAGACTCTTTGTCAACAGAGCAAGAAGGGTGAGGGGGTGGGGGTTTGCACTTTTCAAAACATTGTTTCCTTTAGTTAATTCTTTTCTATATCTTTTTAATGTCAATGGGGGGGGCGTTAAAATAACCACCATTTAAAAAAAGAATTAAGAATTTTTTATCTCTTTCAAACTTATTTTTACTGCACATGAAATGGTTCATGTTAAGATTTTGTTTCAAGAGTAGAAAATACAACAGTCACATAGTGCTACATTACCTTTGTTGTCCCCTGAAGCCAGAAGTAGAACCGAGGTGGGCGTGAACTCTGAGAATGTCTGTGGGTGGTTCCCCTTCATGAACTCCTCCACCTCAGCCTCAGACTTCAACTCAAAGGGACTCCTCAGCTGGAGACTAATTAAAACGAAAAAATATAATTAATAACATTTCATAATTGCAAAATGTGCAAATTTTGTTTTATATTTGTAGGAATCTTGAACCCTAGAGAATACAAAGTGATCATTTCAAAGACAAAACACATGAACAAAAAAACCAGGAAAAGTGTAAAAAGACAGAGATGGGATGGTAATGGAAATGTCGAACGTGCTGATATTCAAAAAAGTTTTACTTTTGAGACTTTGAGCTCCAGCTGTGGGCCAGGCGCTATCTCCACTGAGAATACATTCCAACATTATCGATCGCCTGTAGTTATTTGAACTCTTTTCCAGCCAGAGGAATACAAAAGATTGTCCGTTATTTAACTTAGAACTGCCACCGGCCACGACTCTGCAAGTCAGTGAAAATGGCTTCGTCTGGTCTTCCGCAGTTTCTGAGATTTCCGGCAGATTTTCGGGAAGAAATTTCTAAATCATAATTTTTTCAGCGTATATTATAGTTTTTTCAAACAGATTTCCAATTATATATAGTTATCTGGTCTTTGTATCCATCATGTGTACTCATTTCTTACATCTAAAGGTGCATCCTTGTTTCTTAAACTTTCCCCTGACAAGTGGAAGTTTATCACTGACAGTAAATGGGTTAACCGGCCTTTTTTCATCTCTAGTAGATGGTACCCGACCTCTTAAAATAAGATGTTTTAATCAAAGGCAGCGTTTCTTACAGTCTGACAGCTGTAACTATAGAGGCAGAGTCTAAAGGTCCCTTGTAGTCACGGACAGCTTCGTCTTTCTGATGAATCCTCAGCAAGGGATAGCGTGTGACATTTTCCGCAGTACACAGGTCAGAGGCGTCAAAGCAGTTAACTCGAGCCAAAACATTTGTCTGAGAGAAATTGGACGCCAATGTTTCTGCAGCAGTTCCAAAGTCTCTCAGGAAAGCCATCCCCACAGAATCAACTGAAAAAAAGAAATAAGGGTAAAGACTTCAAGAGGAGCTTCAGAGTTAAAAAGACAACTAAAACTCAGGAGACATTCAAGATTTAGACCATATGACAGAAAATTCATTATGAAAATGGTGAAAGGCTTTGATTTAATCACAGTGATGAGGGAAAATATGTAACCTATTAAATCTGTGTAACTCTCCCAAAATTGTAATTTTAAAAAGATGGGTTTGTTTCAACAGAAAACAGTCTTTTCTGTAGCAAGTGTTAACAGTGATTCTTTATCAACAGTCTGGTTTTTTATATTGTTACACTTGAAAAATACAGATTATGTATTTTTTCTTTTTTTTTTTCCTCAAGATTTAAGATAAGAATTTCGTCAAAATAATTCTTGATTACATGCAACTCATACCACAAATTATCAAACTGTAATAAAATTTGTTTTCAAAAGTTTGGGCGTAGTACATTGGAACAGCTGGCTGGCAATATTGTGTAAGTTTTATTGTAGTCCTGATAAAACAACACTGATCGACACATTAAGGTGGTTATAGTTTATAAAGACTGACACTTACATGGCAGATAATACAAAACCACCATAAGATCATCAGACTTGACTGTGTTGTAGAATGTGGCCTTCATCAGGGCTGGGACGTGGTCCAACTTCATCTTTTTGATCTGCAGATGGAACACGGCCTCCGCCACTTGGTCATCCTGGGTCTCCACTAGGGAAAAAAAAGAGCGGGGCTGTATACACATAAAGGGTATAGTGGCAAAAAGGCAGATTATACAAATTACTCTCAGGTTCATCACATCTCATGACTTTTTGACTTAGGTCTGACAAATAGGTATGTGAGACTAACGGAGAGAAAAAGAGAGGGG